CTGACTGAAAAAAGTGCTCATTACGAAAGGTCATTTTACATGGTTGGCATAAATGAAAACAAACAAACAAGCCAAGGTCTCTGCCCAGAACAGCTTACTTGTAATTTAATTTCCAGAGGGCAGGAGAACAAAGAAACACCAACACAGGCTTAATGTAAGATGATTCATAACATAAACAGTTATATTTACAAAAGGTTTCATTTCAGTTACACAAAGGAGGATTCAAAGAACAGGAGAGAACTAGGCAGGGAGTTGAAAAAACAGAAAGAGGGCTCTACCACACAGATATATCAGGAAGAAACATCTCTGCCTCTTACACAATGCTTGTTTCAGACAGCTACCTTTTTCACTATCTAAAAGATACGTATTTGTACCAACACAGAATTAAATACAGAGATCTTTGAAACAAATCAGATCTTTCTTCTTCTAGTGCTTTTATAGAGGAATGATTCTGCTTCCCCACCTCTGATTTAAACTCATGGTATAAAATCTGGCCTAAAGAAACGAAGCTATCCTTGGAACTGAAGGGAAGGTTTATCTAATTGTCCACAGCTGAGTAGACCACAAGAAACTGGAAAGGGCTGCGAAGGTGATGAGAGAAATCCAACTCTCTTCTCTCAAACATAAGAAGATGAACACATCTCTAAGGACTTAAAACTCCCAGATTTTGTTCATGATCCTTCTGATTTTATACTGGATTTAAATAAACTGACCTGGGGAGGTGATATAAAACAGTACATTAGTAAAGGCAATGATGTGAATTGTATTGTTAGTTCAATTGCGTTTACCTACATATTAACTATTCAGTAATTGATTCAGTGGGTTTATTCTAGTTCGGGCAAAGCTGTGATTTGAGTGTTGAACAAGAGGCGGATATAGACAGCCCCTTTATTGCAAAAACTTCTGCAATAAAAAGGGGGCTGTTCAGACAACGTTCTGGGCAACCCGGAATTAATTCACCACAAACCAGAAAATCCTGGTTTGTGGTGAATTAATTTGATAATGGGTTTATTCTAAACCTTTGTGGAAGGTATGGGATACACCCACTACTTTCGGTGTCTGGACTGCAGGATACTGCTGTCCAGACAGTATTCCCAAAGTTTTCTGGACTAAATTAGTCCGGAAAACTCTGGGAATACCAACCCCCTCCTCAAAAGCCCCCGTTTGTTGTTTATTCGATCAGTCACTTCCGACTCTTCGTGATCTCATGGACCAGCCCACACCAGAGCTCCCTGTCGGCCGTCACCACCCCCAGCACCTTCAGAGTCAAACACCGGGGCTCCCTGTCGGCCGTCACCACCCCCAGCACCTTCAAGGATACCATCCATCCATTTTGCCCTTGGTCAGCCCCTCTTCCTTTATCTTTCCATTTTCCCCAGTATCATTGTCTTCTCCAAGCTTTCCTGTCTTCTCATTATGTGGCCAAAGTACTCCATCTTTGCCTCTAATATCCTTCCCTCCAATGAGCAGTCGGGCTTTATTTCCTGAAGTATGAACTGGTTGGATCATCTCGTGGTCCAAAGCACTCTCAGGATTTTCCTCCAACACCACAGTTCCTTATGGTCCAGCTCTTGCATCCATAGGTTATTATGGGGAATACCATTGCTATAACTATGCAGATCTTTGTCATTTGCACATGCAAGAAGAACTCCGGCAGCCATCCCATGGAGATCAAGTGATTTCTTTTGCTTTTTTACTGTGTTTAGGGGGACTTCTGGGGAGAAAGTTAAGTGTCCAGGTGTTCTACTGGGAAGTCCCAGTACAACATCTGGGCATCCACCCCAGAAAGCGTGCACGTTCTGGGGTGCTCTTGGGATAACGGCCTGTCTGGAAAGGCCCAAGGACATTGTCATATCAGGGGTCAAATACTGTTAAGCTCATGGAAATCCACTGGGATAATATGGGCAAGGCAAAGGTAAACCCCCTCTGACGAAAGCTTGCAATATATATGATAGTTCTGTCTTTGAGCCATCAGAAATCAGAAATTACTTGAAGGAAAACAGGCAAATGTCTCCCATTCTGAAAAGAACTAGTGAAGTGGCATGCACAAACAAGACAACAACATGCCAATAATAATTAAACTTTTATTAATTTTAGAAGATATTGTTCCAGGTTTAATTTTGTGGTTACCTTCATGGACCCAGTACTACTCATGTCACTTCAAATATTTTAGGAAAATATAACATGCATAACCCATATATCAAAACCATACAACTCTAGGACATGAGCATAATCTAATTCCATTAATTGCTGGTGATTTGGCAAGGTTATGCAACAGCAATCCATTTTTCGGATGTGTCATAAGCAATCTGTTTAAAGAAAGAAGGAAAAACTGATGGCAGCTCTTCATGACTAACTAAACAACTAAATAACAAATTGTTCAACATTTTTAGTAGCAGTGAAAGAATCATCTTGCCAGCTCTCCAAGTCAAAAATATATAATGTTCATTTCTCTAACATCATCTTCCCTTGGTAGGTGGGCATTTGCTTTACACATGGAAAGAAGTTTCCAATGTACTTAGCTTGTGATGTGACATAAAGGTCAATCACTGTACAAAAGTAGTGGTAGGGAGAGTTACAAGAATTTCCCTGAATTAGTATTAAAAAGGGTGCCATAATTGATTAACACCTTAATGAGATAAAAGTTTGTAAGAACTCTGCAGTCAAGTAGCTGAAAGTACCTTTGCCCTCAACTTAGGAGACAGAAGTCTTTGTGTGTCTCTGTTTTAACTGCTACTGTGTTGCCAAGAACAACAAAGAACAGTGGGCAGAGGGAAAAAAACTAACAGAAGGCATTTTGTTTTAGCCCCCACCCCCCAAAAGATAGAGTGGGGTTAGCAGGTGAAATCAGCGTGTGCCTTTATGAGCAGTGACTCAGGTGCTACCGCCAGTGCTGCCTTCAATGTCAAGAGCACACTAGTCATTTTTTGTGCTCTGCTGTGCTTTATGGCATCAGTTGTAATAATAAGATTATTGTTCAGTTGCGTGCAAAGCTCTCACCCAGGGATTCTTGTTCCTGCCTCCTCCCTAGAAACCACAACCATGTTAGGCTGCACCTTTCCCCCTCCAACCCCCTCCCTTTACCCTTCCTTACAGGTAAGCACTGGGCATCCACATGAGATCCCAGCAGGAGGAGGAAGCGCCGCCACCGCCTTCAGTGAACCACACAGGCAGAAAGGGAGATAGCGCTGGCTCTAGCATTCCTGCTCACTGACTCAGCAGCAGCAAGCCCAGTTTGAACGGAGGACGTGAGCTCGGTCATATCACCTGCTGCTGGGGACGACAGTTCACCTGGTTGGCTTTCAGCCGCTCTCACAGCTGCTTTGCTTGCCTGGTTTGCTCTCCCCACACCCTTCTTTTCCCGGGAACACCAGCTTAACCTGCAACTGAAGCAGAACAAGCTAATAGTCCCTGCAAAGCTAAATCATGGTCTATTCTCACAGTTAGATCTTACAATCTTTAAAACTCTTTGGAGGCCACAGGATATCGAGGCTGGCCATTCTGCCCTATTCAGAGCAAGGTAATAATTGTGATCTCTAGATGTTTCTTGAATTCCATCATCATGATCTATTTGGGATAAGGCTGTGAGGCATTGTAGTCCAATGTCACCTGGAGGACATGATTTGCACTCCAATGCCAAGAATTTAGCTCAAGGCAGCTATAGTGGAACAAAAAAATCTTTACTTAGGTAATGTGAATGGACCTCTTACTAATATGAACCTGCCCCCCCCCCATCCCACCCCCAAAATCAAATCATCCCAAACTGTCTCAACACAAAACTATAATTTTACAACCCCATCATCTTCTCAATTAGAAATGATTCTTATCAATATTTGGCACTGGTCAAATGGGTCTTGGTTACATTACTACGGCAAAAGGCCCAGTCATCAAATTAAAGCATACTGCTTTAATATGTTATGCACAGGACAGGTAATTGTGTGTTAAAGTGGATGAGTGAGGGGAACTGAGAAAATCAACATTCAGATGGGAACATTTTGGCTTTTTGTATTCTGCAGATTTCTGTTGGACTCTACATTCATCAGTCTGCAGAACAACCAAGGCAGTTAATTCCTTCAACAAAAGTCTCAATTTAAGTCCTCCATAACTTTTAGCATGTATGAAAATGGCAACCAAACACAGAGAAAGGATTGCATGAAGGCCAAGATCTAGCTAGCTTACTGGCATTCTCTATATCTTGCCAATGGGCATTTGCTTTAGTCATCCGAGGGTGAAAGTGGTGGTGGTGGTGAAGATGGCCTTTTCTTCCCTAAGAGTGCAACAGTAGATGGGTTTTAAGGGCAAAGATCTGGCTTCCCAGCTACTGATTGGCTACAGGGATTTGCCTGGGCAGTATCCAACTGCCCTTGTAGTTTTCTCAGTGTATGTTTGCACCTTCTTCCCCAGATGATCAAGTGAAGTCAGACCTTTACCAACAGTAATCCTGCAGTGAATGAGAGAGTAGAGGGATACAGTTGTGTGTGTTGGGGGGGGGGGGGGGGGGGGGGTCTTAAAATGGCTTTGCATAATGAGGAAAGGTTGTATGGGAAGAGGTACTGGATAGCTCCTTCCAAATTAGCATTATGCCAGTATTTGTATGAACAGGATTCTAGTTTAAGTCACATAACATCAAATGCATGATAGTTTAACTTTTGAATACCAAATCTCAAGGTGGGAACAATAATAATCAGAGACAACAGATTGAAAATCCACTATTAACTGTGTATGGTCACCCGCCCCCCAAATTTACAAAGAATCATTCAGTTCAGTTCAGTTAGACTGATCTGAAAGACATTGGCTTAATCTATGCATACAAAAACAATCAATCACACACCGCTACATGCAATATCAAATGGATTAATGGCAAGATGAAACAGTTCAGCTTCATTTGAATCTTGAACAGTAGTACTTCAGACAGGATCCTCAAAACTTTGACATGTCAGACAGGATTTCTTTTCAAAGTAGAAGACAACAAAAATGAAAATGGTTCATTGACTCAAATATTTTTTTTAATTTCTTCTTTTATTCTGCTGTATTAAAGTTACAAAAGACCCATCGGTTGATTACAAGTTATCATTCTGTACTGGCCTACATGAACATAAATTCCCATTGACTTTATTTAGCATTTAGTTCATGGAAACATATTGGTCAATGGTAAACATACGTTTGCACGGGCAGACACACTCATACCCCTTCTGTTCCTCCTGGAATAATAGGAATTGTGTTAGGAATTGTATGGAAAGCAATAGTAGCCCTTGTTTTATGAGCTGGGGGAAAAACTAGGTGGGTCAGGAATGTAGCCACAGGCGCTAATGATACATCTGTCTCTTCTGATAAAGAAACGATATAAAGGTATGTCCCAGTGTTATTAGCACAATTCTTACATTTTAATCTGTAAGTATCTATGCTGAAAATGTAAACGAAGCTGCCAGACAAGAGATAGAGGACCTGTGGCCCTCAAGATATTGCTAGATAAGCACTCTTCAAGTGCTTCCCATTGGCCATGCTAGTGTGGAGTTGATGGGAGATGGAGCCTAACAGTAAATGAAGAGCCACAATTGTCCCTGCCTTGTATGACAGATGTACAACCTATTAATACTCTGACTGACTATGTCAAAACATCAGTTCATTTCTTTTTCCATGGCTGAGTGTCAATAGGTGAAACTTTTCCTCGTGGCTCTCAAAGCTATACAAGACGGTCAATTCCATACAGGTAGAACACTAATTACTCAGATTAATTTTTAAAAAATGAGACTACTAAACGCACCTACTATCCTCCAAAGCATCGCCCAAGGAATGTTAATTGAAGTCTTATCACAATTCGAGCAAAGTGAAAAAGCAAGAATAATAACAATTTTGTCTTTCTTAGAAAATGGGAAAAAAGGCGGCGGGACGGGGGTGGGGAAAATCATTAAATACCACAATGCCATAAAATACTATAGGCTGCCAGTACTGCCAGTAGGAGGTAGCCACTAAATTGCTGCCAGAAGGAGGTAGCTGCTAAATTGCTGTAAATCTCAGATCTCTCTCCAAGGAATCAGTATTGAAATCTGCTAGTAAAACTTGGTGGAGATAGCATATTAGCAAGTCAACTGTACCAAGAAATGAATTGAGCTTTCACAGAGCTCTCTTCCTTGTACCTCCACCAATGTAAGTCATGCCTTGAACCTCGAATAGGATGCTGATATTTTAAAGTCAGATTAGACAATTAATAAATGAGTGGATCCACAAAAGCAGTATTTTTGAAACTGGGTGCTTGAGCGAAGCGTACTTAATATTGGCTACAAACACCATCAAGTCTGAAACAAATTATTCCCTGACTCCTCCAGTAAATCCCTGTCATAACATGTTAAACTCAAACATGCCCTACCCTATAAACACAGCTCAAAAATCCTATTTATTTAACTAATTTTAAAAGAACAATACTACCCATTTTAACACCTTGTGAAGCTGAACATTTTCCATAGCCCTGAAGAAAGCATGGCAGATGCTGCCTCCTAGGCCACAACACAATGAGAGGTGTAAACACACACCAAAGACAATCATCACAGATTAGGGCTGACCTTTAAGAGTACCAAAAACATGTGTCAAAAGAATGAGTGGAATAAAACATGCCTTGCAGCTTCATTGATATGTTCCATATCCAAATCCCTGATGAAAAAGATATAACTACGTGGCAAATGAAACATTCCCGAGAAGCAGCATCCTGTATTTCCCCAAACAATTCTGTTATGGCAAATTTCCGAAGTCCATATAATTAAAAGGCAAATCAACAGCAACCAGTATGATTAGGTAAAACACAGTCTTCTAGTTCTAGCTTCTGCTGTGCATTTTGATCAGACTGACATATCCTGAAGGTCAAAAACACGGGAAATGTTACATCTCTTGTTATCCAAGTCCAACATCTAGGGACATCATAATCACAAATCCAAAGATGGCAGTCCAAGAAGCGAGCTTTCCATTCCCACTGCAAAGAGAAAGAGAGATGGAGGGAAAGAGATGGGGGAAGTTGAAGGTTAGTCTGCTGTAAAGTTGACTAACAGGACATTTTTTTCTCTTTTCACATAGTATAAAAAAAAGATATTATAAAAATTGTCCTGTCTCCAATTTTTTGTCTAAGGCTTTAATGGACTGAATCACTGGGTTGCTGTGAGAAGAGAATGCTTCTGGAACATGGCCATTCAGACCAGAAAACTGACAACAACCCAGCGTCCCCAATTTGTTTCTCAAATCTGTTACCCATTCTGATGAAAGAAATGAAACATTTATCTAAACTGTCATAATCACAGAAAGTAAATTAGGGGTAGAGCTGTCGTAACATAAACTTGATTGAGAAAACCAGCTCACAGGATCTCACTCCTACTGCAGATGGAGGCATGACTCCATCCCTTTCTTACAATGGTGGATTTGCTTATCACAGCAATGTATTTACACCATTACTCCACTGTATGAAAATTGGTGGCTATTGCTAGAGTGACAAATGAAGATTTCCTCTTTGAGTCTATCCCACCTTCAAGGACACATTCATTTTCCAAATCTTGGTGTTCTGACACATCAGGATCAATTGCTACTAATTGCAATGTCTTGTTTCCATGAAAAAATGAGGTCTATTCAAAAGAGACATAGTTTTAAAACAAAAGGACATACCTCTACTATCCGAACATTACTCATTTCTTTGCCGTCAACACCAGTGCTACTCCCACTACCTGTTAAACTCCAAGACTATTTTATTTAATGCATTTTTATCCTAAACTTCCTCAAAAAAGCTCTGTGTGCTTTATAATATCACTAGAATTACAGCTGGTACCTCCCATGCTATAACTTTAAAACAACCCTGTCAGGTTCAGAACAAAAGATTGTACCAAGTACATTAAATGAGCATCATAGGTAAGTCTTAAAACTGGAGTTCTGAGTTATCATATAACATTTTGTACACTGGAGATTTGAGTTTGGGAGTAGGGTTTTTGTCCTTATATTAACCCTAAACTATCTAATCAAAAATGGAAACAACAACAACGATTATGACGATGACTATGATGATGATGATGATGATAATGATGATGATGATGATGATAATAATAATAATAATAATAATAATAATAATAATAATGCTTAATTTCTTTCCCTTTCCTATGCAGTTCCTTAACCCTCAGATTAATTAATACATTAATAACTTTGTTTTGTCTGTGGGATCTGAATGTTAAATGAAGTGAAAGAAACAACTGGGAGGTGGCTATAAAGAAGTCCCTCACCTGATCTGTGCTTCGGGGATGATATCATCCATCACCACATACACCATGGCTCCTGCAGCAAATGCCAAAGCATAAGGGAGAAGAGGCTCTGCTAGTACAACAGAAAAGGCACCAAAAAGGCCGGCAAATGGCTCCACCATGCCACTTAATTGCCCATACCTGAAAAACAAGGAAAACAAAATGTCACTATTGGAAATGCTATAGGCAGAAACACAGGATACACTGTCTTATGGTGTGGGTTTACCCTCTTCTACTCAAATTACCCCATTATGGAGAACTTTACATATACACAAAAGCTTTCCCTTCTTATCTGCTAAGTCCCCTAATGGGGCTGGGACAATAGAGGTATTTGTCAGCCCTCTGAAAATAAACAGAAACTCCTCATTCATAAGCAAACCAGTGAAAGACAATTCCCTTTAATCTCAAAGGTGACAAAAGGTTACAAACAAAAGAGGGGAACATCTGGCCATGGCAAGCTGGCAATCCTCTCCCACATCAGTACTCTTTTTTTCCCTCCATCTCCCTCTCTGTCCTCAATTACCAGACAATTATGATTTTTGTTTTGTTTTGTCTACTTTGCTTCTACAAGGATCTTCCAGAAAATAAAAGGTTATTTATCATCAAAAGTGTTTGGCTAATGCATTAAACACTTACCATGTAGGTTCATTCTTGACCTAGATCTGAGAATATACACATTCTAGAAACTTGGGGTCCCCAAGTTACGAACAAGATAGCTTCTGTAGATTTATTTTTAATTTGAATTTGTATGGAAGTTGGAACAGGTACATGTTTTAAGTGTAACTCCAGCTGTGCACACACACACACAGGCACACACAGACACACAAGCTTTGGATAACATAGGGAAGAATTAATACCCCTGTGGTGTTTGTTTTCCTTCTAATTGTCTCTGTTTGGAAGATTTCACCTCACTTTCTGTCCTTGTGATAATTGGATTTTGAAAAAAAATGGCTTGTTGTGGAAACAAGGATTGGTGATAAAGCATCAGTGGAGACACCTTTTCTTCATGATATCTCTTCCAGGAGTGAATTTCCCTTCTAGTGGGTAAATTTACCTCACTTCCTGTTGTCTCACTCCCATTCTTAAATAGGCGTCATTTGGAAGTTGGATATTTTTGTAAGTTGGGGACTGCCTGTTTATATAATATGAATATGTACCTTCAAGTTGCCTGTTGACTTCATTGTCCTTATTAATTTCATAGGGTTATCTAAGGCAAAGAAAATACTCAAGAGGTAGTTTGCTACTGCCTTCCTCTGAAATATATGATACAGCATTTAGTATTACTCGGCAGTTCCCCCTCCAAGTACCACATTCCACACCTGACCCTTCCTAGTTCCCAAAATCAAATGAGATCTGGTGGCTTTAGTCTATTTAATCTTTGAAATAATAGTACTTAATAATTAATTGCTAAAACAAATTTAGGAAAAGGAAGGCTTGATAAAAGATGTGAACAGAGATGCAATATATGAAGAATGTGTCATGAGAGACATGGCTGTAAAACATGGTTTATGCTATCTCAAAACATCCACTTTTTGCTCTTGTAGATGGTCCAGGTATATAGACAGAACTCTGAAATATTCCAGGTATAGATGGGAATGACTGATTATTGTTGTTGTATAATTTCTCAGGGATAAGTTTGAGTCCCACCTCTCCTAAAAATGGAGAGTAATTTGGGATGGCCAAACCCTCCTAACTGAATAAAAGTGGAAGCCACTTTAATAGTTTCATTCCTGTGTACTATATTCTATCTCAACCCTATGCTATCCAGGAAGGAATGAACCCTGACCCCACTGGATAACCTTGGGTAATTGATGTACTCTTAGGCCCAGGCAACCCTGAAATAGGGCTACATCAATTGGAAATGACTTGAAGACAAGCAACATCAAGTGTTGATTTTTCCCCTGTACATCTATGGAATAGAGAAATGTCCAGTAGAAAATTCAAAAAATCTAACCAATCCCTGAATTCTGTGTAACAGAGTCATGGCAGTTGGGATCAAACTGCTGCAATTGTGTAATATGGGGAAACTCTCATATCTTATCTTCCCAGAATCCTCTGTGAAGAGAAAGACTTGGGACCAATGGATTTCAAGCATGAAACAGTCAATAATGGAAATAGCCTGGAACAACTTTGGCTTTAACTGAGAGCTGGTTGAGATCAGAAGGTGTTTAGCAACAGTAGAATGGGTGCAGATTATAAAGATTTTGAGTGTTGCTGATGTAAATAATAATAATGTCTGCAAGCATTAGTTTCACCATAACACCAGGAAACACAAAAACAACCTTGGCCCATACTTACCAGAATGCTCGCCATGTTGAAAACCCAGCTCCTCGTAAAGGAAGACTGACAGCAAGCCCTTCTGGAAAATTCTGAATGCCAATCCCAATTGCTAAATTCCTGTGAGAGAAAAAATACAATACATTATAGATATTGTACAATAGCTCTGATGCTTGTGTATGGGTGTGGGAAAGAAGAGACATAAGGCTGGCTTAGGGAAAAAATCCTTCTTATTAAATCGACATCTTTAAAGTCGGTATTTTAGCCCCTTGGGGCCTAATGTAATCATGTGAACACTTGGCATACGGCATGATTTTCATCTTCAAAGTGTTTTACATACATTACTCAACTTAATAATGCCCCTGGGAGGCAAAGAGGAACAGAGGTGGGTGGAGAAAAGACTTGTCAAAAAGAAGGCAGAGTAAGGTTAAAATAGATATCTATACTGAATTCCAAAGAGCTGAAACATACAACAGAAGGAGAAAGTTTTCCAAAGAAAGAAAGAAAGAAAGAAAGAAAGAAAGAAAGAAAGGAAGAAAACTGGCAGCAGCAATGGATTTTTGAGTTTAAGTGCAAACTCTACAGTTTACTTTTATCTCTCTCACACACACACATACACACAACCCTAATACAAGTGACTCTTGCAAGTCCTGAACTGAAATAGGAGTTCCTATTTCAATTCAGGAGACAAAAATGTCTTATATAAATCAAAGGTTTTATACAAATCAAATCATGAATATTCCTGCATGACAGAGGGTTGGACCAGATGGTCCTTGTGGCCTCTAGGTTGCCTTAGGTCTCCCTCTTCACATAAATTCATTTGGAGAATGCTAAATTGAACCATTAATCCTGACAAGACAGAGGTCCTCCAGGTCAGTTGCTCAGTGGATCAGGTTATAGGGTGGCAACCTGTGCTTGAAGGGGTTGCATTCCCCCTGAGGACAGAGGTCCACTGTCTGGGGGTCCTTCTGGACTCAGTGTTGATGCTTATGCTCAAGTGTCGATGGTGGCCAGGAGGGCCTTTGCACCATTAAAGCTTGTGCACCAGCTGAGACCGTACCTTGAGAAGTCTGATTTGATCATGGTGGGCCATGTCTTAGTCACCTCTAAGTTGGATTATTGTAATACACTCTATGTGGGGCTGCCCTTGAAGATGGCCCAAAAACTGCAGTTAGTGCAAAGTCTGCGGCCAGATTCTTAACAGGAGCAAATTACAGGGTGTGGTCAACCCCCGTGTTTAAACAGCTCCACTGACTACCAATAAGTTTCTGGCCCCAATACAAGGTACAAGTTATTACCTATAAAGCCCTGAAAGGTTCAGGACCTGCCTATCTTCATGACTGCATCCTCCCCTACGAACCAACACAATCTCTAAGATCATCTGGGGAGGCTCTTCTCTCGCTCCCACCCCTATCTCAGGCATGGTTGGTGGGGACAAGAGAGTGGACCTTCTTGGTGGTGGCCCCCCAGATCTGGAACTCCCTCCCCAGGGAGACTATGCTAGCACCACCCCTGCCTATCTTCTGCAAGGATTTGAAGACATGGTTGTTCCGCTGTGCCTTTGGCTAGACAATCCCCTAGACAGCCTGGACCCAACTAGGAGCCAAAATCTCGTCCTTGCACTTTACTATTTTCTGCACCTAAATCTATAATGCTCTATTCTCATACTGCCCTCTATCTCTACTGCTGACAAATGATGCATGCACTTTATCCATCAGCCCTATTCTCACAATTGTTTTTGCACCAGTCCTTCTACTCAGAAACTAATTGTTATCACAGACCCCATTGGTTGTTGATTGATGCGTGCGGCAATAATTTTGTTATAATGCTGTTGTTTTATTCTGTTTTATGTTGCCGTTATATATTTTAATGTGCTATTTTTAATCATGCTGTTTGGACTTGTCCCCATGTAAGCTGCCCCAAGTCCCTTTGGGCAGATGGAGGTGGGGGTACAAAAATTAATTATTATTATTATTATTTATTAACCATTCACACTGATCTGCAAATTTGAACATAGAAAAGGGTGCAGAAATAAATAGTGAGATTTTCAGTGTACAAATTCTCTCTATCCCCATGTGTATGCTGTATTACATGTGAACAGAAAAAATGTATCACACTGAATTCTTCAACAGACACCCTATTTTATATGTTCATAGGCTTTGAGATATACATATACAGGCACTTCAGGTCTTGAATGGAGCATAAAGCCTTCTGAATATGAGTGGCAATGGAGTATTTCCTATTACTGTATGTTTCCCTGCTGAAACACATAGTATCACTGTATCTACAGGGAATACATTCCTGAATCTGCAGATAATAGAGAACCCTGTTGAAATGAAGGATTTCTGGTGCAAGAGCATCATAGAGCTAATATTATGTGTTGAAAGACCTAAAAGGATTAAAGAAATGTCAGTTCCACAAATACAGGAATCTTACCATAGTTTCCTAAATCTCAAGAAATAACACAAAATATAGTGAAGTTTTTCCTTGGTATTTAAGAAGCAATTTACCATCCTGATATTTTCTGCACAAATAAAAACACCCCCCCCCCCAAAAAAACATACACATGGGGAACAATCTAATTGATATTAGTGCGCAAATGCATTAATTATTTAATTAGCCTAATCACAAAACTACACGTGATAGAGAAAAAATAAACACAGATCTGAATTCTAGAAGAATGACCTAAAACCGTATCTGATAAAAAAAATACTTATTGGCTTGTGGTTAATTAGATTCTGAAAATACTTGTTGGCTTGTGTTACACAAATATTATGTGAAATGACTTCACAGTAGTCCGCTGTAATGAACCATTCGCCATATTTAAAACAGTTGGCATGATGGAAAAAAATACAGATATATTTAAAATCAGCATAAAAATGATTTAAACTCTGCTACTCTCATTTCTGATGTTTACAAAAAGTTTGATTTTGTTGGCTTGTGTGATAGTAATAAAATCAGTTGATAGAGCAGAGAATAATTTACTAGTTAGAGGCATGACAGAGAAGTAGTCTATAAAGATCTGTCACTTGGGTAGGAGAGAAAAGATGGATGGGACTTCAGAATTGTAAATAATGATTTGTAACTGTATTGTGATATTTTGTATAATGTGCAAGCGTAATATTTTAAGAATTAGTTTTCTTTCACAACAGGGAGAAAAAGTATTCATTCTCATATGCAAGAAAACATAATCAAAGATTCACATCCTTTCATGGACTGCTTTCATGGTTTCAGAACTTGTGTCAAAGATGGCTTTATCTCATGGAAGGCAGCTAAATAAATTGCCAATAGGTCACCAAACAAACCATGGATGTGATTTCTCCATCTCCTGCCCCTTTTGGCAATTTCTGTTTCACACAGCAGGGACAACAAGCTATGGGCAAACCTCAGGTTCAGATATCTTGGTGAACCATGGTTTAAACAAATCACGTTTGTTTAACCACAACACCACAGAGTATGATTTATTGTGTGTATGTGTGTCTATGCCCTGAAGTCACCTCTTGACTTTTGGAGATGCCATGCAATTTGCAGGGTTTTACAGACCATGATTTTGCCAACAAGCAAGAAACTTCTGCTTGTTGGCAAAAAGACAAAATGTCAACAAACTGTGACATATCCTACTGGTCTCTGAGTTCTTTAATTACGGAGAAGAAAGATGTCGTGCCCCAATGTCCACCTCAACTAAGTGAAATGGTTTCCTCTCTAGCAAACTCTTTGCCCAAACTAATGGTAGAGTCCAGATGGGATCTTTCACTGCTAAAACAGGTTCCCATCTTCAGAAACTTCACCCGTTCCTCAAGCAGGAGTGGTGCAAAGTCTCTCAAAGGGAAAGGGCTAGTTGTCCCTGTGCCACAGGAGTTTGCAGAACATGTTAAGGGTAAAAGCAACTGAGAGATGCCTCTGCCCCAGTGCCTGCCCTTACAGGTCCCAATGAGATGTTAAAAGCCACCATCAAATAAGAAAAGAATAAATCTTTGCAGCTAATATCTTCTGTTTGTCTTTGCTTTGCAAAAAACATTTTATTGTTGGTTTTTGCCACCTTGTTAAGCAGCTTTAAGATCTTACAGCTTTACAGGGCACTTTTAAATCCAAAAAAGGCACTCATGGTTCAGTTGGATTGCACAAGTAAGAGGAAGCAGGCTTGTTTCCTGCTGCCTTGAGACTAGGAAGTAATGTATTCAAATTACAGGAAAGGAGATTCCACCTGAAGATTAGGAAGGATTTCCTGACCATAAGAGTTGTTCAACAATGGAACTCACTGCCTCGGAGTGTAACAGGAGGTTCTTTTTCTTGGGGGGGGGGAGGTCAACAGAGGTTGGGTGGCCATCTGTTGGGGGTGCTTTAATTGTGCTTTTCCTGCATAGCAGGAGGTTAGACCAGATGGTCCAAGTGGTTCCTTTCAACTCTTATGATTCCATGATTCTGTGATTCTAACTGAGGACAGCCGTGTTCACATCAGATGAACTGTGAGTTAGGAAACTGATTTACAGAATATGAAACCATTAGGGCTGTATCTTCTACACATTCAAAGCACCCCCAACAGATGGCCATCCAGCCTCTGCTTAAAAGCCTCCAAAGAAGGAGCCTCCACCACACTCTGGGGCAGAGAGTTCCAGTGCTGAACAGCTCTCACAGTTAGGAAGTTCTTCCTTATGTTCAGGTGGAACCTCCTTTCCTGTCATTTGAAGCCATTGTTTCTCGTCCTAATCTCCAGGACAGAAGCACAAGTTTGCTCCCTCCTCCCTATGACTTCCCCTCACATATTTATACACGCTCTCATCATGTCTCTTCTCAGTCTTCTCTTCTGCAGGCTAAACATGTTCAGCTCTTTAAGTCACTCCTTACAGTGTTTGTTCCCCAGACCCTTGATCCTTTTAGCCACCCTCCTCTGGAGGGTCCAGCTTGTCAATATCTCTCTTCAATTGTGGTGCCCAGAATTCTAAGGCAGAATAGAGGGGTAGCGTGATTTCCTTGGATCTAGACACTATACTCCTATTTATACAGGCCAAAATCTAATTGGCTTTTTAAGCTGCTGCATGACATTATTGGCTCATATTTAAATTGTTGTCCACAAGGATTCTAAGATCTTTTTCACACGTACTGCTATCGAGCCAGGCATT